GTATCTATCTTATATTGTTTAGCCGGCCTTTTGCAATACCGTAAAACCTCGAATAGAAGCCCATTGGGCTTAATCTCGAGCAGATGCCCATCTCGAATTGAAACCCCCTCTTCACAATTTGCAAAAATAGCCTCAAAATAAAGCCCACCTCGAAAAAATCCCATGGGCTTCTTTTCAAGATAAGCTCATGGGCTTCTTTTCGATATATTACAATACATACACTGTACATGAACTTTAAAGAAAAATAAATAAATTAAAACATGCTTGATTTAGACAGTAGTTTAGGTGATTTATTGCAGGTATACACAGCATGTCACCTGTTCATCCTTTCCTTTTCGCTGCTGTCCATTGTATTTTTATATTGTTTTCGTTTTCTTTATGCAGTGATGAAGCGTAATAAATAAATAAATAAATAAATAAATAAAATAAATATAGATTGATGTTACAGGGGCCCTATATTGTTTTATAGAAAAAATTTGCATCGTACATTTTGAAAAGCCACCGCCCCTCTATACTTTGCAAAAGTAGACTCGGAAAAACGTCCATTCGGAAAAAAAAAAGCGCAGGACTTCAATTCGAGGTTTTACGGCATTTAGTTACGCTCATTATATTCCGCATTGATACATGTACCTTGATAAAGACCTCAAGAATAAATATTGGTATACTGAAATAAAGTTCATATATGATATTACTGTTGTGCACAATGACAATAAATCGATCTTGTGTTTTGTATTCTTTTATAATTAACACTCGTAAAAAATTACACTACGAAATATGTAAATTTAAAAATGTCTAAAGAATAAAAAATTAATTAAATAAGATTAAATTATTCAAATATGCGTATATTTGATTGTTGTAAAGATGCAGGAGAGCGCATTTCCGGGCGTCAACAACAGAAACTAAATTTTCCGAGGAAGGACATCCGAAGAAGGACACCCCTTCCCCGACCCCCCACCTCCGAATGGCCGGACCACTTTCAAAATGCTTCCGACGGCTATGATGGTGATGTGATGATGATGAATTTTACTAAAAGTGTCATTTCTGGCCATCTAGAGGTACTATTTTCTCACCTCAGCTCCAACCATGGTGGGGCTGAGGTGGGTGTCGACTCATAAAATGCCCTCCCCCTCCCAAAACAGATCTGTGCCCTTCCCTGTGTATGACATGAAACTCCATCGAGTCGGCTCCTGATGTATGTCTTAGTGACTGCTGTTTGTTTTTAGGATGTGATCTGGTTTTTCATATCCATTTTTCGTGATAATGACTATTCTGGATAAAGAATGTTTTAAGCAGAGGTGGATTCAAGGGCACCAACCTTCATTTTTTTAAGGAAAAAAAGAAAAATATATTCAAATTGAATTGCGAGAGTGTAATTTCCGGCCATCTAGAGATGCCCTAATCATAAATTTTCTTACCTCAGCCCCGACCATGGTGGGGCTGAGGTCGGTGGATCCTCGGTCCGTCAAAGTCCCTCCCTGGTTCACCTCTCTTTCGAATTCCTGGATCTGCCCCTGTTGATGTATTATATAATTATTGTTGCGCTTATTTATAATGCGTCTATTGCAATTTTCACTTTATCCTCTCAAACAGTCCTAAGAACGTTCAGAGTGCGCTACTTCACAGGGGGATTCGCCCCCTTGACCCCGCCGGGGTCCTACGTAATTCGCATAACGGCTCCCCTCCCCCTTTCAAAATCTTGGCTACGTCCCTGCTGCAGTCTCAAAGTAAGAGAATTCATTCAGCAACTTCATATTTTAACACTTTCTGAGCAATAAACCAGAATTGTCTTCCCTGAATCCTTCAAGTAAATGTTGGTATAGGCCTACTAAATATGTTACTTCATATAAACTAATCTTGTAATTTTTTACCGTTAACCATGGGGATTTCGTATCCTTTTTTTTTTCGTGTACTTTATATAGGATTCTAATATATACCACAACATGCCCTATTGATTCTAAGTCGTTACTCTATTCATGCTAAATTAATCCAATAGAAAGCTTAATATTTTGAAGTTTAAAAAAATGAAAAATTTGGTCATTAACATTGCATCATGAAATAATATTGGGAACATTTTATTATTATTATCTTACTATTTATACAGCGCCTTTTATTTGTAGATACAAAGTGCTTCATTTTTCCTGGTCATTTGGGTCCTCATGTTTAAAGTGTTGCTGCTGGCAAACATCGCAGGAGTAGGCAACCTCACCAGGTACCCATATACTCCTGTGTGGAGAGAACCCATGCAGTAATGGTTTGATGTAAGTGGAAGGGCATAAAATGTACTATATACAGGCATGCTTGGTCAATACTCATATACAAAATCCCTTCTTTAAGACTATAGGATAGAAAATACGAACATGTTTTTTTAAATAATAAAGTGTTGATTGCTAATTTTCGTTACATTATACTAACACATTTACAATATGAAAAAAAGACAATGTTATTCTATTTCATTTAAACAAGACTAAAATCAATACTCTTGCATAAACAAAATGCCCTCTTTAAGACAATTAAAATAGAAAATAAGAAACATTTTTTGTCTTAAATGCAGCTAAATTGCCAAGGACAGTCTGGTAATTGAAAACCTTTATCCTCTCCCTTTCTGTTATTACTGTTAGGACTGACCACCAGAGAACAAACGCGTAACACCCCTGTTCGCGTAATTATTTGATTTTTTTTTTCTGCAAGCCCTTTCTTTCTCATTCGAATGTTTAGGGAGACATCGTCGGATATAAAATCTTGTTACCATGAAATAAGTTATTTCTCAGTGCAGTTGCACAACGTTCTTTTGTGGAGACTTTGAGTTTTAGAAGGATCGGGCAACATTTTCCTTCAATACGTTTACCTGTTCGAGCGCACGCTCTATGTCTAAGGCAATAGGAATTGGAATTTTGAAGTAGCTGCGAAAATAATCCATAACGAAAACTTCAGTATTATTTTGTTTCCTTGGGCATCCTACAGGGGTGGCGCCAGGATTTGCCCGACGGGGGAAGGGGCCCGAGGTCCCCGACGGGGGGACGAGCCCCCGACGAGGGGTCAAGTTCCCCCGACGAGGGGTCAAGTTTCCCCCACGAAAGCAAAGTGGGCGTGGTCGAGCTTCGATTAAAAGGTTTCGAAAGTGGTCCAGGGGCGAAGCCCCAGAAAAAGTTTTACAATTTAGGGGTTTCAAAGGCTTATTCAATCGATTTTAGAGTCGAAAATATTATTGATATTATCAGGAATCACCGAATCGCTTATTAGCCACTAGCACCAAACCCCAGGGGGGAGAGAAAGTTACAAATTAATTAACAAGGTAAGGTAATGGATTGTTTTAATATCTTTTAGTTCTGCAACGAGGAATGGTAAATTTTGTATTGGACCTAGTATTATAGGAGTTCACCCTTGGGGGAGGGAGAAAGGCGTAAAGTTTAGAATACGGAATAAGGGTTTTAGCAAAAGAAACACAGAGATTATGTTGTCTATCACAAAGTTTATCCAAGTGAAATTCAGATAATGCATCATCATAATGTATGAATTTATTACCTAAAATAATTTTATATGCCCTCTTTTTTACCCACTCAATGCGGGAATCCAATAATTGTGTTAGTCCGCTATTCCACACAGGAACAGCATATTCCAAAATAGGACGAACTGTGCTCATGTAAACAGTGATAAGGTCTGCATGAGGAACACCATGGTGTTTAAGGGCTCTTAAAATATATAATTTACAATTACAGTAGCCTTTTTGACAATATAATTAACATGAGAATCCCATTTAAGATTACCTTGAAGTATAACCCCACGAACTTTAACAGTGTCAACAGTTCTCAGAACATGATCATTGATAACAGTAGATGAAGGAATAAAGTTCCTTTTGCTAAAACTAATGTCCATAGTACAACATTTCTTGGGGTCCACTCTCCCGACGTCGGAATTCTCGTCAACACTAGCTGTACCACCCAACTCAATCTGGATTGAAATAACTGCACTTGCTTTTCCCCTTTCCTGTAGATTTTTCGATGTTTTCCTGGTCCACCGTGCTTCTTCTTTCTCATTAGTATATTTAAGGTGAATACTATAATAGCCAATGTTTAACGTTACTTTTGTAATATAAGGAATTATCTGACAAAAATTGCGGAGCTCAAATCAAACGTTCCTAACTAGCACGAAGCATGCTACAAGTGCATCGTGTGCGAAATGCCCCGGGTTCGACATACTCGGTACTGGGTATGATCCACAGGACTTCATGCTTCATTAACAGGGCGGATCCACAGATGTCCAAAAGGTGGGGCTGAAAGAGATAATACTGTACTACCCTAGGGGGTCCGGGAACATGCCCCCGCGAAAATTTTGTGTTCTAGACGGCCCAGGGGTGGCGCCAGGATTTGCTCGACGGGGGGGGGGGCGACGAAGGGTCAGATTTCTCCGACGAAAGCAAAGTGGGCGTGGTCGACCTTCGATTAAAAGGCTTCGAAAGTGGTCCTAAATCAACAATTGAGGGGTTTCAAAGGCTTATTTAATCGATTTTACAAGTCTACTAATATACTAGAAAATACACAATTTTTTTTTCTCCCCGACGAATTGTGCTTTTTCTCTCCGACGGGAAGGGAAGGCTCCCCCCCCCACTGGCGCCACCCCTAAGACGCCCGAAAATAACCTCCAAGGCGTTTTGGGCGATCAATTTTTACTTTCTGTTTCATTCTTTCTTTTTTTTACCTTTGAAAAAGGGGGGGAGGGGCCTCAAAATCAACCCCTGGTACAGGTCATTCGATTCATAAAAAAAAGCCTATAATGGTGAAAGCATACCTGTTATTAGAAATAGTAGTAGGTCAAAACATAACTCTGGCTCAGTGGCACAACGACTATGCACTCTCATGCGGCAGTCCGCAGGGCTCGATCTAACACCCTGACCAAAAGACTTTGTTGATACACAACACCATGTGTCTCTGAAATCGACTGTAAGGCATATATCATATTGTATCCAATGGCGGATTAATGGGAGGGTATATATATATATATATATATATATATATTTTTTAATGTATATAAATAATTACATAATGGTAGAAAGAGTGCTCAAATAAATGTAAACATTGTATGCAGCATAGCCTATCAATTGAAAAGTTCTTAATTTTTTGTAAAAGTGCCCAGACAGGCATCTAACCTGCAACCTCTTGCTGTCAGGGCAAGTGTCATAACCCTTGACCACTGGGGTCGATGGTATATTGCAGATACAACCAGCAAAGACACTTCTCCAAACATTTGATATCACAAAGTGGGGATAGGCCAGGTACGATGTTTACTACATTGTTCCTTTATACAAGCACTGTTACTAACATTATGCATGTCCCCTACCAGGATCGCCTTACACAGCTTCCTGAAGAAGCAACAGACCTAAAAAAAATTATTCTATTGTACACCAAGCCAATACTTTATATTCCATACTACAGTGTATTCTATTTCATTTTTAAATAGGCAATAACTATTGTTACACCAGTCTTAATTCTAATTGGATGTTATTGTCCTAATCCAATCAATACACACAATAACATCCAATCATAATTCAAAATTGGTTTAAAACTGGTGTAACAATAGCCACTGCCTTTCAAAAACTGCCTGCTTCAGTATTACCCTTTCCTTTTTTCATAATGAACATATTTAACATTTTTTTCTCTTATTCCATCCTGCATGCTTACCTTAACATATTATTTCAATTTTTTTAAGGCGCTGTATAAATTCCTGTGTTATTATTATTACCTAGGTTATTAGTATATAGCCATAGCTTAAATTCTTCAGTTTGCATGCTACAGAATTAGCTCAGATTTCACATTACCATCATCTACTCAATTTCCAGTAAAATTAATTGCTAACTTAACACCACTTTTTCTATGTCTGGATTTCCTCTGTTGTCTACCTTTTATGACATCAACAATTGGTTTTGTCTGTTCTGATTTACTTTGAACACAAGAATTAGCATCATCTGCGTTTGATATTAAGTTTATTTCAGTTGGCTTTGGTGCGGTTACTTCTTCCAATTTCATATCAGGATTCTTGTTAAGTTCTATCTGTGGCGTAATGGGTGACTTGGTTGGTGTCATCTGCTTAGTAACCTTCAAAAGAAATAATTATAAAAATATGATTAATTTTGTATTTTAGTTTGACTCACTAAACTGTAGTGTTCATTTTTAGGCTTCATATAACTTTTATAGTATGATATCGATCCATTGATCGATTGATTGATTGATTGATTGATGATGTCAGTATGCCTGTGCCACAAACAACTAATTCATATGTATTGCAATAGAGAATTATCATGTACCAACTACATACTTATCTATGAAGCAATCCATCCTGTATTACCCAGAGGAGTATGTAACCAGCTTCAGACTTACCTGCAACGGTATGAACGTGTTTGGTGTAGCAAGAGAGGCATTCTGATTAGGAGTGGGTACCCTAATCCATGTGGGTTGATTTGGACCTGTAGGAGGCCCTCGTGGCTGTGGAACTGCACCTCTATATCCAGGCTAGGTGTAACAATAAAAAATGAAAACCATAGTTTTATTCATTCATTTATTTGTTATATGAAAAAAAATAAAAGTATACATGAAAAAGCAATACAGACAATACCTCAATAATTTGGCTGGGTTTAACAATAGTATTTGCAAGGTAAAACAAAAATTATACTAGCAATAAAATATGTAGTTATTCAGCTATGGGAGAATGGCTCACGGCATGAGATGTGGGTGGGAACTATAGTCTGTTAAGGACCTTTTTTAATCCGCCCCTGGGTTTCGGCACTGTTATGCCAATGTGAACCATTCACTGCTTCCGACACCAACACTGCATGGTGTCGGCATTATACTCCGAAATAAAACGTGAAAGTACTGTAGATAACTTACATTCCGCTGGTAATTTTGATGAGAAGGGTTTGGAAATTGATGATGCATTCTGACTGGCGCTGGAATATTTGCAGTATTGTTCAGCATGTACATTGGCTGTCGGTAGCCTTGATAATGTCCTTGCATGTGACCAGTTCCCCTAGTCTGATTGCCACCACTCCATTGGTACTGATTTACACGAGGCTGCTGCATATGTGGGTTGGCTGGGTATATCTGTCTACGTTGATTAAAGCCTGTCTGAGTGCCAGGATGTGTAGGTTGAGGCTGGTAGATTATTTGGCCTTGAGGAATTTGTGTGAATTGTCCAATCCCTGGAGTTGCATACCTTGGTACTGCACCAGTTTGGATGATAGGTTTCTGCTGGGAATTAGGCCCTGCATTGTGGGAATGGGTCTGAGGTGGCCCAGCCAAATGGGAATTGACTGGAGGATGTCCAGGCTTGTGAGAATTATCTTGAGGTGGTGATGAGAAGTATGCTGGACTTAGCAGTTCAGGTTTAGATGGCTCAGATTGAGCAAGATCTACAACTAAAAAATTTAAAATGTTTAAAAAAAAAATCAAAGAATACATAAAAAAACACATTCATATTTATACATTTATATTTTATTCAGATAAAAGTATACAAAAAATGGAATAAAAAAATAATATTCTTTTCCTGAAAATAATGAACAATTATTATCAAACTGGATATATATAAATATCAGGGAGGAATTGCATGTGAATGCATACATTTACTGTGATGCATACATCATAATTTATGACATCATACACCGGGTGCATGTATCACTCACTCATGTAAGTGAAAAAACCGTAGAGAAATTTTGGATTTCTAGTAGGATCTTCGTTTTTTTTATTCACATTTTACAGAAAGTTTAAAAAATAAATGTATCTTTAATATGTACGTGCCATTTCTGTGACTATCGAAGACAGCAAGTTACAAGAGAATAGAATGCATCTTATTTTGGGGTATTAAAAAACGTTGGTGCTTGGTGGTGTCGGGATTTTTCTGTAGGCCTAGGCCTAGCTAGGGGCCTCCCTAGCTAGGCCTAGATAGTAGCTAGGCATTTTTGGGTCACAAAACTCTTCTGGGCAACAAGGGAAGGAGTATTATTCGGCTACCACTTCCAATTTCCAAAACCATACATACCAAAACTTTAGAAGCAACTAGGCTTAAGGCCCTACGCTTAAATTTTGCTAAAAGAACAGCATGGCTACAATCCGTTACGGATAGCTAAATGTATGCGTACACGTATCCATTCGCTTGTGAAACCTCTGATATAAATATATAGCACGGTTGTATCATACTATAAATGCTTGTAAGAGAAAATTTTGTGCACTAAAGGCTCTGAGAGCGAAGGACGGATTACCTATGCACACATACACAAATTATTACAAAGAGTGTGCATAAAATATATTTATTTAATTTCCATTTATATTAATTAAAAAAATTAATTTTGAGAATGTGCAAAAATCAGCTGCTTTAATTAGGATTCAAAGCTCCAGTGGCCCGAAATGTTAGCAACAATGGCCTACATTGTACACGTCCAAAAGGGAGTGAAACTCAGTTGCATCCAATGGGAAATCACTGTTTGTTCGTGTAGAAATATATCTGTTTTTCCAATCAACCACTATAATAATAATAATAATAATACACATATGTATCAATTGTACATATATGACTTTTAAACGTTAAAGGAGAGGAAACTGCAAGTTGCCTCAACCACGATTCAAACATGGACCTTCTGCAGTCCATGCAAATGTATACATATAGGTATTATAGTAGTAACTGAGACTTGGTTCAGAACTAATACGCCTAACAACTTGACTACCCATACCGACTATCAGTGCTTTCGCTTTGACAAATCTGAAAAGCGAGGAGGGGGTGTTGCTATTTTTGTTTACAAAGGCATATGACTACCAGATACCTAATATAACTGTACCAACAATGCTTGAGGTTGTATGGGTTAAGATTAAATTGCCAAAAAAGAACAATAATATTCGCCATATTGACTGCATCTTTGTTTGTGTAATCTATTTTCCACCAAACTGTGCTTATAGCCGTATGCTCACTGATCACTTAATTGAATGCATTGATAACATTCGTTTGCTTGACAGTAAGGCTGGCATCTTGCTTCTTGGAGATCTGAATCATTTTAACTCTACCAAGCTAGAGCAACATCCCTATTCACTCAACTAGTTAATTTTCCTATCAGAGAGCATTCAATTTTTGACAGGATACTGACCAACATGGCTGATTATTATTTTGAACCAGAAAAGCTCCCTCCTATTGGTAATAGCGATCATTCTTGTGTCTTGCTTCAACCCAAGTTCCTTGTAACTCCCAAGGTCAACGTGACTGTCAGACCTTTTGAAGACTCTTATTTTCGCTACTTTGGGAGTTGGATTACTGCTCATGACTGGGATAATTACAATGCAATTTCTGACCCGAATTTAAAAGCAAAAGCACTTCATGACTGTCTGCTTAGGAAATATCATCGTTGTTTTCCATCCACATCATATAATAAGCGAGCTAGTGACAAACCTTGGATTAATAATAACATCAGACAACTTATTGAGTTACGAGAAGCCGCATTTAAAGAAAATAATTTGATTAGAGTCCAACAACCGAAGAGAGTTATTCAAGCCAAAATTAAAAAAGCAAAAAGTAATTTCTACAAAAATAACATTGAAAGTCTCAAAAAGTCACAGCCTGGAAAGTGGCAAAAGGAAATCAAATCTATCATTGGCACATCTAAATCTTGGTTGATACCTGTAGCTCCTGATGGGCCGTCTGTTACTGCAACCACTTAACATGTGCGCACTTCCCTCGTACTTACCTGCTGCTGCCGTTCCTGTGATCTACGCGGGCCAAGTTAGAAAGATTTTGAAAAAGATTGATATCAACAAGTCGTGTCATCCAAATGACATTCCTGCCAAGCTAATTAAAGAATTCGCATTTGAACTCTCATATCCTCTTGCTTTGTTGTACAATGACTGTCTTCGAACTGGAACTTTTCCATCATGTTGGAAGGAAGCAGTGGTAACACCTATTCCTAAGGTCAATAATGTATCTTCTTATGAACAGTTAAGGCCGATTTTGGTTACACCAATTTTTTCAGAGTTTTTGAACAGTTCCTTGTTAAGTTTTTTACTATTACTAATGACTTTCTTCCAAAGGTTGATCCACAGCAATTTGGCAATATGAAAGGCTCTTCAACTATTATCTAATTGACCTCCTTAATTTTATCCACAAAGGGCTCGATATGCCCAAACAATATGTGAACATATGTACAATTGATTTTGCATCTGCTTTTGATAGAATCAACGACACCACTCTGATCAAGAAACTTATTGATTTAGATATTGCACCTTCCATTACCCCGGTTATATGTAGCTTTTTAAGTAAAAGATTTCAAAAGGTCCGATTCAAAGGAACATTTTCCCGCAGTATGGATATCTCAAGTGGTGTCCCTCAGGGGACAAAACTGGGTCCACTGCTGTATACTATCATGATCAACAATGCAGTGGTTGATTCTAACAATCGATGGAAATATGTAGATGAACTAACATTAGCCGAGGTAGTAAATGTTAAAACTGCACCCACTGGTGATCTACAGCTGCAACTTAATTCTTTGGATGTTTTGGTGTGCACTCAATGACATGGTAACTAAGCCTTCTAAGTGTAAAGTCATGAATCTGAACTTTTCCCGTGCTCCTATCCCTGGATCCCAATTCAAAATTAGTGGTTTTGATATATAATCTGTAAAACAGTGTAAACTACTTGGAGTATGTATTCAAGAGAACCTCAAGTGGGATTTGCTTCCAAAAGGTTGTTCATTCTTTTTTCACTTAGGAAAGTTAATGCTTCAACCGAGGATTTAGTGGTTGTATATATGTCATACATTCATCCAATAGTTGAATATGTTGCACCAGTGTGGCACTCCTCTATTACCCAAGATTAATGTAATGATATTGAGAGAGTCCAGAAACATGCGATCAAAATAATCAATCGAGGTAATTACCAAACATACACCAGAGCCTGCTCTGATCTTGGATTATTTTGCCTTAAAGAACGTAGAGAGCAATTATCATCTAAGTTTGCAAATCAGTTACTCAATTCCAAAACATTTAGACGATTTCTGCCTCCGTCTAATAGTTCACGACATAGTCGTAACCTCCGGAACTCTATTAACCTGCAGATTCCAAAATGTAGAACAAATAGATTTCGTAACTCTGCTATACTGTATGTGACACGTTTGCTAGGTTCCGGTTAGTGATATATTGCCTGATACTCATTATTACCTTGGACCTTGTTATTGGCCCATGTGCTAATTCTTGTGTTTGGCTAGCTCACAGTCCCTCTTTTTAAAAGGTAAAAGAATTTGGCTGTCTACGTAAATTGTGTTTTTTTTATCTCTTCCTTTTTTTTTTTTTTTTGCTTTTCTCATTTTAATTTGGTTTTTTGTCTGGTGCTGTGCTTCTTATCCCTGGGGTTTTTTTTCTTTGTTTGTGTTGTGATTTTTTTAATTTTTTTTTTATTTTGGTGTTTTTTCTAACCACATAACTATTTTTGTAATACTTTCTTTGTGAATTTCTTAAATTTTTGTGTTTTTTAACTGTATAACGTCTGTCTCTTATACACATCTAGATGTGTATAAGAGACAGCTACCAAGCTATACACGCAAGGCAGAGAATACATTACGAAGAAATACCATATATATATTTCCAAAATAGGTTTTCTGCATAGCACTGTTAGTGACAATCTAAAACAAACATAGATACATAATACTAACGAGGGTCTAATAGAAACATGTAGATGAACTGCAGCATTGAGGTACTATTGATAGTATTACATGGTATGGTAGGCAGTGACTACCACATGGTAAAGTAGGCAGTGATTACCACATGGTAAAGTATTCAAGTAACTACCACATGGTAAAGTAGGCAAGTAACTCAGGGCCATATCCTGGATTGCCAATTGTGGTGCAAGGATGTGAAAAAATGGACCAACTAGGGAATATACTAGAATCTCCCGCAGGGTCAAATTTGGATCGCAATTTCTGTTTTCCATGGCAACTTCAATGTCCACATACTTTCATAACGGTAGATTTATGGTTAAAATGTAAAGACTTAAGATTCCCTTTTAATCTTTATTACAGAAAAAAACAAATAATATATTCAGTATATTCTCAACAATGTGAGGTAGGCAGGTGAGTGCTACATGGTGAGGAAGCGAGTGACTACCACCTGGTAAACTAGGAAGTGACTGCAACCTGAGGAGGCATTTGACTGGCTACCACCTGGTAAGTAGGGCAAGTGATTACCACCTGGTGATTCTGGGAAGTGACTGACTACCACTGTTTCATTGCGTGCATGCAAAATCGAGGCAGTCAGACCTTTTGCTATTCTATACTCTTTGCTACCAACTGTTATGGTAGGCAAGTGTCTACAAACAACCTAGTGAGGTAGACAAGTTATTACCACCTGGTAATGTAAAGAGTTGAGCAATATCTTTAAAGTCCCTGTTCCGAGCAAAAAAAAATTGATTTTGCCATATGTTAGAAACATTTAAATATAATAGTCACTTACAATATGCAGGGGCTAAGACTTCAAACTTACCTGCAAAGAGCTGAGATACATTGATTTGCTTTCCGTATGATTGTGGGGTAACAGGTGTCTTTTTTGGAGGTTGAGATACTGGTTTGCTAGCAATATGATTGATGTTTAACAACCGACATAGGTCTTCTGTTCCTTTCTAAGAAAGAATACTACAAAGGTTCATCACAAGAAATAAGCATTTAAAAGCAAAGGTGCAGTTTTGAAATCCCTATTAGAAATATGTAGTATGATGTTTAAAATCTTATTGGCGAGATTCGCACCTCTCTGAGCTTACTAGAAAAGAACTAGCATTGTATGGTGGATCCACAATCACAAGTTTGTGCTATTACACAAATTACATTGAAAAGCATAAGGAAATTACCAAAATGCTCCACATAAGAAGGCTCATGTTCAACAAATGTAGTAGAAAATTATAATAAAAATTTGCTATTTCCCATGTGAAATCAACCAATCTTTTCAACCGTGGAGTTGTTACTTTACTAAAAATTGCTTCATAAAATGAGAATTGAACCCACTTTCCTTTTCCGTATTTTCATTGTAGCAAGAGGGTTAGTTATATATCTCCACATGTCTGTCCAGGATTCACCCAGCTATGTTGTCAAGGCCGGGAGTGAAATCATGATGGAACTACTAAGCCACTAAAAAATAGGACTTTACTTGAACTGAATCTCAAATATTAGATCGAGTATTGTATTGTTCATGGACAATAGTGTGTTGTATTTTTGCACTTCTCCATTGTATTTGTCATGAGTTCTTCAAAAATGTAATTATCCACCTCTTTTTTAATGCCACCATAATAGTATATCAATTGCAGCACCAGCAATTGTGAATGTAATCAAGTGGTATATTATAAGAGGCAGCTATTTTGCACTTTTTGTATGTCTTTATATTCCATATTATTTGGCTATTTTGTATTACTAATACTTGAGATATTGCCTAATGATTTTTTCGCGCCGCACCTTTAGGTTGTAACGATCAAAAGGAAATTGTCATTAAGAAACTGTATGTAGCGGTAGCTTTTACTACGAAGAAATCGGAATTACGAACTAAGCAATGCGCATGCACAGTTACCAAATAACGTCGGTGAATTATCTATAAAAACACAGTGAGCATGCGCTTGGAAATGCTAGACAGCCAATGAGCATGTGCATTGAGTAAGTGATGCTATTGAGCCATGTCGAGCATGCGCAGTTACAAATAAGGCGTCTCAGGAACCACATCGAACAGCGGCTGCGAAGAAGGTATGAAATAGAAACGGGAAAACTAATAAAAACATTGGTGAAATTGTATTGACATCTGACCAAGTTCTTTATTATATTAATTCTTTGGGTATAAATAAAGCAACAGGACCAGTTGGAACAGTGTTATTATATGAGAGGCAGCTAGTATAATTAGTCCACATCTTACTAAACTCTTTAATGTTTGTCTCTCATGGAGAAATGCCTACAGTTTGGAAAATGGCAAATATTACACCAATCCATAAAAAGGAAAGCAAATTACTTGTTCAAAATTATCGTCCCATTTCTGTTATATCACACATAGGACAAATATTTGAAAAAGTAGTATTTGATGTTGTCTATGATTATTTTAAATTAAACAGTTTTATTTCCCCTTTCAATCTGGTTTTACAACTTGTTTACTTAAATAACACATTTCATAAAGCTTTAGATGAAAAAAGGAAGTATGTTCAGTTTTTCTTGATATATCCAAAGCTTTTGATAAGGTGTGATACTGTATAATGGTGTACCGTTTAAGTTAAGACAGTATGGTGTTACAGGTAATTTATATAAATGTTTTTTTAGTTATCTTTCTAATCGACAGCAACGTGTAGTTATCCAAGGCGTTTGTAGTCAATGGAAAAATAACATTGCAGGTGTTCCACGAGGATCAGTCTTGAATTCGTTTTTATTCTTAGTTTATATAAATGATATTGTGGACCATTTGAAATGTAATATAAGCTGATATGTGGAAGGTAAACTTTAATGCTGATAAAACCAAGGCAGGTCTGTTCTCAAGAAGTCTGATGCAAACACAGATTGATTTACGTTTATTCTTTGAAAATCATGAAATTAAATTTGTTAAATATCATCAACACTTAGGCGTAATATTTAGTTATGATTCATCATTAAATATGATGAGACATCTAAAAAAGTTCTTATCACGACCAACTTTAGTAAAAATTTATATCACTTGCATTCGACCACTGTTAGAATATGCTTCCTCTCTGTGGGATAATATGACACGTGTAGCTTAGCTTCAGATCTAGAAAATTTTCAAATGAGTTTTGCAAGAATCTGTACAGGTGCATGGAGGCATACTAGTCATACAGCCCTACGTATTGAACTTGGTTGGCCAACCCTCCAGAGTAGGCGAAGTTATTTTAAACAGTGTTTATTTTACAAAAAAAGAAAATCTAACGCCGCAGTATTTATTGTCTATGTTTAATTTTCTTGAAAATGTTGAAGTATATAATTTACTTGGCATAAGAAATCTTAAACTTCCAATTTGCAGAACTGAATTATATAATTCATCATTTATATACTCTGTTACCTCTGATTGGAACACCTTTAATAATGAAATTAAAAATTCCCCATCAATTTCTGTGTTTAAAAATTACTTAAAAGAAGGTTTTCCAACAAAAAAAAAATATTACGATACTGGGTCCAAAAAAATTAATGAAATACATACAAGAATAAGACTTGGTTTTAGCAGCCTTAATTTTCACTTACATTTTTATGGTTTGAAGGCTGATCCAAATTGTGCTTCTGGAAACAGTATAGAAACCCCTTTCCATTATTTTATAATGTGCCCCCTCTTTGTTACTCAAAGAAATAAGTTGCTCACTGTAATCCAAATTTTTTCCAACTATCTTTGCAGATTTCTCGTTTGTAAAAAATATTGATCAGAATTTCTTATTTAATTTATTAATATTTGGTTCCCAGAATCTTACAATGATGAAAATTGTGTTCTGTTTAACAAGGTTCAGATGTATATTTTAGATACAGGACGTTTTTTGAATCTTAGTTATCAATTAAATAATGTACTGTCTGTAATAATCTAAAAATTCAATCCCATATTTCATTAAATTATTGTTCTATATATTGACCTTTAAATTTAATGATAATAAACTTTAGAATGTTTATTGTGCAATTTCTTTTGACTAGTTTCATTCAATTCAAAGGTTTAGATTGAGTTTTTATTTGTCAGACAGTGTATATTAAATTTTAACTTTTCCTTTTTGTGCCAAGTGCCATTGTATTTTTTATTTGTATTATGTTTTCAGAGGTATTCATGCCTTTCTTCTTTACAATCAATTCTTTAAAAATGCAATGTCATGAAGTCTGTTCAAATAGCTATGGTTCAATTCCCATTTATTTAAAATACAATGCTTCACAGTTGTTCACTCCCTCCTTTAAATAGTAGATTGCATGTTAGCAATCGTTTCACTGAAGATGGCGAAGGATTTGCCGAAACATGTCTGTTTTATAGTATACCGAGTTTTGATAATAAAATTCATTAGGCTTTGCCTATATGGTAAATGTAACACTGGTATTGCTTTATTGACTAACTATAGTATTTATTCACACAAGTTTTCGCCAGCAGTCTATGCAGGTGCAGTCACCTGATGAAGCCAAGCGAAAGCTTGTGTGACTGAAGAGATGTACTAACCTGCAAATACATTTCCTTGTTGGTTTGCACCTCGTGGGCATCCTTGGTCTGTTTGCAGCTACCATCCAAGGTATCGTCAATGCTTTCATCCTGCGTAACATTGGTGATAACACTAGTGTCCATTGCAACTACAGGTGACAGTGTAACTTTTGGCGACATGTTCCCAGCAAGTGTTGTTGTTGATGACGATGAAGGCACACCTGCTGATGCACTGGCAACAGGTAGTTTTTCAGATTGTTGTAATTGTTTCCATATGTTAGCAAACTCCTTTTGATCGTCAGGTTGCTTGTGATGTGTTGAATTGTTGCCACAAACATTTCTGGTATCACTGTTTTGTGTCACATGTTCTTGGTGGGTTGACTTTCTTGGTAGTATAGTAAACTTTCCAACAGGTTGGCCTAATTGAGGTACTGTGCTCTTGGAAGATGAATTTTGCCCTAATTTACCTTGAATACGAAAAAGATGCAATGGAAAATAAATATTTAAATCTATTTCACTGTTCACTTACTATTAAGCCTCATTTGCACTGGACTTTTTTTTTTTTTGTAAAAATTTCCTGATAAGTCTTAACAAAGATCTCCAGTGCTAACAACCCAGTAACTTTTTCTGAACAGTTTCACCGAGCCAAAAAATCCCGTGAAAACAGCACGACTTGGTGACATTTCCCGAGTCACCTTCACTGGAATGACCTTTATCGGTCAGCTCATTAGTTACTTTTCACAACCTGTGTAAGTCTTATCACGAGCCATTGTAAAACTTATCGAGTCAAACAATGCAAGTGCGGATAGCGTTAAGATTTCCCATTTGAATGTTTACAAATATCTTGGTAAGATTTTACAAGAAAAAAAGTCCAGTACAAATTAGACTTTAATCAGTATCTGATAAATGAATGGACTGACTTAACGTTACCTAGTGTTCTACAGCAGCACTAACCTTTAGTTAATTTGTGTTGATTGGAATCATTTTGTGGGACATCCTTTCTCCTAGGTTGTTGGTTCTGTACCTGCAAAACGCAAAGTCGTGTCAGTGACACATTTCTGTTAGCACAAAGAGAATTTTCATGTGCTTCTATAAGAGAAGTATGCAAGACTAATAGCTTAATATAGAATCCAAAGCACGGAGTAAATAGAGGAGAGTATATTCTCCATGGACGCAAGTGATTGACAATGGCATGTTTAAACTTGAGTCTGTACAAAAAAATAACTAAGTGCACAGTTTAAGAGTAGGGAACTGTCAGCCTGGTACTATAGACAATTCCCTACCAGATCCCACCTGTATGTATATTGTGTGTGTGATGCGAGTTTTGGCAAAAATAAGGATATCATAATATTATTAATATATTATGCAACAATAGATTCAAGATTGAAGAACACTTTATTGTCCCATTTTAAATTAGGAAATTTATCTTTCCTTTCCAACAGCTGGGTTCACAATATAAAAAGTATAATAATAATATAAGTGACATTTATAAAGCGCTCTACACCAGCAAGCTGACCCGACACGTCATAAAAGAGAAATTCATCCAACAGTGTACAATACAAATTCGAGAAACATATTTACAATATTTATCATTCAAAAATAACACCAAAAACGTCAAAATGGAATAATTTCAATATGTAACAATATAAGGATTAATGATTTAAAAAGTATAAAAAACAAATTAGCAAGCTGGCACTGACCAGTAGCTATGCTACCTGTAACACCAGGCACTCGACAGAGTGGGTAAATTGCCTTTATTTGTAATTGATTTCTTTTACAATTTTTATCATGTTTTTTTCTTGACTCTGTGTACCCTGCATGCACCTATTTGAGCCATGCAGAGTTTTTTGGCACATTCTTTTATTTTTATTTTTTTTTTAAAGAATGGTTTTACTACAGTACATAAAAATCACAAGACAAAACAACTTGCCAAGGACAAAAATTAATGTACAGTAGTTAAAACACAGTGTACTTCCACTTTGAGACTCACTCTAATTCCAAGACTTCTTTAATTCGAGACCACTTTTCAAAGAACCAAATAACAACTTTCCATCTTTTAAAACAAAATTAAGCCTCTGATTGGAGATCGAACCCCAAGACCACACTTGAGGGCAAACTGTATATATAGTATTATGTAGTTGAAAAGTTATTGAAATAATAAAATTATTTGCTAATGGCCCCAGTGGCTCAGTTGGTAATGAATCTGCATGTACAGCAAGGGCTAGAGTTAAAAATGCAGTTGGGGGCTATTCCATTTGCTATCATACAATTCCAGATTTTATTACATTTGTTGTTCTTAACCAACAATAAACAAGATATCACCCTCCAAAAGTGATGACAACAGAAAACATTAGAAATGAATACTGTAAAATTATTACACAAGTCACTATGCCGCTGCAATGATTGAAGCTGCACATATTAGACTGCCTATGAAAAAACAGACTGACCGTGGAACTTGAGTTTTTCCTGGCTGTCTGTGCATCTCTAAAGCTGGAAGACTGTGACATATTGACACCTATTTTGGCGATAGCATTATCATACCATCCTCGATGTCTTGTGTGCTCAGGCTGATTAACGGGCTTGACAACTGCTGTTGGTTTAGCTTCTGATCCACCTTTACGCAGACCATGTGAAAGACTTATAAGACTTGTGGGTGGCATTCTGTAACCACGACTACCAGTACAACGAATACAAAATCCACCACTGAACTCTTCATCAAATACGACATCGTATAATGTGTCTATAATACGTTCACCTGAAACACGAAAAATAGTATGCAGTCAAATTCTGTATCAATTCTGAAGATCTTTGGTTGAATTACCCAACTTCTCAAGTTAGTAAAATGCATATCATTAATTCTTACAAACTTTCGTAGTAAATGACAATTGTCTGCAACACCTAATAATTTTGCTTGAGTGCAAGATATTGTGTACTCAAAATTACAGGCACAGTACAATAGCTGTGGAATTTCAAACAAACTGAAGGGGATAAAGATTTTGGGTGTGCCTTTCATTTTACGTTAAGCCTGGTTTTCTTAAAATTGCTGCACTGTCGCTACAGTGTTTTCATGCCAAAGTTGTACTGCATGGAAGCCCCCAATGCAATTGGGAAGGCTCCCCGATTCGACCAATCAGCATAACCAAAAGCTGACGGCGATAGCATGTAACAAGTGTATGAAAGCCATTATTATCCAAGATATGTTGGGTAACAGCTAAATTGTATTTAAAATACAATGTAAAATCAGTTAATACACACAATTTTCCTTATTAAGAGTAGAGGTTATCATTCACAATATTTTAATTGTAGACATGGCTTCTTCTATTTCTATATTTGCTTTATTAGTAATTGATCCAACTGAGGCATTTTATCAAGTGCATAAGGCACTAGTAACTGAGGCATTCTATCAAGTGCATAAGGCACTATATAAACAAAACTTCATTAAACTTGGTTTTCACACAATCTCTACACGCTATCGCCAACAGCTGATTGGTCAGTCGAATCTGGGATTAGAAGGGAAGCATCTTAACCACTATGCTATTTAACTCCATGAATAATTAATTACTAAAGCCTGATACCCAACGCTCCAGTAAGGACATACCTGGCTGGATGCCAACTACAGTGCCCCGCATTCCTAAGGGAACAGTGTATCCTTGCCGAACGTTTATAACACGATCAAATAACTCATACGTTCCATTTGGATCTGGAATCAAGTTACCCATTTTCTGCATGCTCTGAAAATATTTTTGTAATAAAATTCACAAAATGAAAGAGGGTCAAAATGCAATGTCTTAATTCATTCTTACTGCACCCACACATTTGGTCAAGTTATAGATTTTCTTCCAGTGATGGTGCTAGGTTCTGCCCGATGGAGTGGTTGAACGCCCCGACGAGGGGGCTATGGTCGCCACTGGTACCCCCACTGCTCTCATCTATGATCACTCTTAAGTTTGAGAATGTATTTAAATCTTTTATGAAAACTACTACATAATCCAAGGTAATTCCAGTGTACTTTTCCTAAAAACATGAGGAAACATAGCTTCTAAAAAAACATCAATCTGCATAAAAAATGTATAACAGAAACACAAATAACTCACCAGGAATAGTAAATGGGGCCTCACAGACAAACAGGTTTTTGTTGGTTTTTTCTCCTATTAACAAATCAATAATTGTTGTAAGATCCATAATACAGAGGTACAAATAAGCATTTTAAACAATAAACATACAGGCAAATCAAATGGCTGAGCGGCAGGGGAACCGCAACCTAGTCATAAAATCGGCGCGGATACGAACGGCATGCTCGCCTGTCGTTCTGGTGGTGGAACAAGTCTTTTTGGATAAGGACTATAAACCGTAGGCCCAGTGTATACAATTGGATCATGTGCACCTTAAAGAAACCAGTACATCTTTCGAGACGAATAGGGGGTTATCCCAGCATACTGGTCCATACAGCATTGTTACCCTGCGCTTACGGATCATAAGATCCTTTGCTGGATGCACCTATGTGAATGTTCCAAGCTTGTCTATGCCATGAATACTATGACCATCTATTCTCGATGGATAACCCTCTGTCAAGATGGTTATTTATAATATACAAATATATATTCAGAATATAATAAAAATTAAAATAATACATTTAAAATTTTTCATTTACACTACAAAGTTTTCAAGTCACAAATCAAACCAAAATAATCTTTCTATGATTTACAGACATTAAACTATTAAAATCTTTAAATTTGTTGCCAGAAACATACTTAGGTGTATAGATGCAAATACTACACAAATGTTATTTTTAAGTCTGTTAAAGTTGTCATGCCTACCAATAAAACCAAGGAGAACATTTATAATTATTATTATCATTTTGTATAGCTAATTTAAATAACAAATACAGTAAGTATTAACTTCCAATAAGGTATTAACTTCCAACAAGAAAGAGATGAAAACAAATTGGTTTTGCTGATTTACAGACATTTTACTGCAAAATTCCTTAAATTGATTATCAGCCACATTCAGAATGTATGCATTCCATTTTCTTTTCATTTATTATTTCCAGGCAATATAAAATACAAAAAACAAAGACACAGCCTGATGATAACCTAAAGGAAACTTAATTATTATCGAGAGGTTCTCCAAACAGACATGACAACAAACACACAAATAAAAATAGCAAGCTTAAATAAAAGAACAGCACAGAATAATAAAAAAAAATTTAAGAAACCAGTCAATATTTAAAAAAAAAAAAAAAAAAAAAAAAAAAAAAAAAAAAAAAAAAAATGGTATAAAATAAATGGTTACAAAGATGGTACTTAAAATTATGATTTTTAATTAGAATGTCTCTGACAGCAGTAGATAAAATGTTCCAAATGTACGGAAAATAATTAAAGCACGAAAATTTATGGTAGTCGGTTCAGACATTATAAGATTTTAAATCTAAAGTCATCGGCATGTCTGGTAATAATTTGAGGAAGAAGAACAGGGTTGACATTAAAAAGAATACAGGAAATTTATTATATACGTAACTGTCTAGATAGAATGTTTTACTATTCCATTCTATTTTAGTTTTTAATAACTTACTTAAATAGGCACTTAAAATATAGAAATGAAGTTTTCAAATGCTTTTTAGCTTATGACTTATAAATCTAGTCAACTATTGAAATACAAATTAAACAATTCATTTATTTTGTTTACAATTTTGTTCTTCCTCGTTGTGTGTTGTTTTTTTTAATTTTCACTTGTCTGTTTTGGTGTGGGCAGAGACATTTAATTGATGTGGGTTATGGGATGTAATGTGCTAGCACTTTGTCTCTGCAAAAAAAAAGAAGCTATGTAATGGTGAATAGAATAGATAAACAGTAGCTATCTTTTTGTTTCCAAGGTAAAATACCTTAATCTCCTGTACTTCTGCTTCAAGTAAATTAATTACTGGTTCATCAAGTTGTTTAACTCCGCTCTTTACTCGCAACACTTTCATGCACTCTTGTTTATCAAGCCAATCTTTCAATTCGTTCAACCGCGGAGTATCACCAAAAATTTCATCTTCGGCATAACTATCACCGTTTGGCCGTTGACTAAGCACACGGAATAACTCAGGAAACCTGTAATAGAGGTAGATGGTATTCAATTTTGAAAAATGATGTTGAATTTTTTGATATCTTAGTTTTCTTATTTCATTGTTTCAATAACAATTTCAATTTTTTTATTTTTAAATTCTACACATATATTGCTCTTTAAAACAGTGTTATTTTATGAGAATTGGTTGCGATATCAGCCAAGTAGCTTCCATAGATTCCGAAATCAGTAGTTTATTATAAAAATTTGTAATTAAAAATATTGTTAATATACTTCTTAGTTTTAGTGATTGAAATGTTCTTCAATATCCCTTCTTTAATCATTTTCAAAAACTTGAAATTAGGCAGGATGCTGATTTTTTGGCATTTTGGGTGCTAGCGTGAAGTTGGAAATACTGTATCAACAAATGTAAAGTTTTGCCAGAGCCGGTCCAGGTCACCTTTCTTGAAAGTAAAAAGTTCTCCTGTACATTGTATTTAAGATTTATGAAAAATACATTATTTGAATTACATTCTCATATACTGAACATTATTTGACTTACATTCATATATACTGAACATTATTTGACTTACATTCTCATATACTGAACATTATTTGACTTACATTCTCATATATGGAGCATTATTAGACCTACATTTTCATATACTGAACATTATTTGACTTACATTCTCAAATACTGAACATTATTTGACTTTCATTCTCATATACTGAAGAATATTTGACTTACATTCACATATACTGAACATTATTTGACTTACATTCTCATATACTGAACAAGTATTTGCTGAACCTGAGAAGAGTAGGTCCAGCCTTGTTCAGTGTCCTTGCGGCTGAAGCCTGGTATTTCTTGGTTTGTGCGATTGAATTTTAAATTGAGGCCTACATTTAGTCTGTAAAACGAAAGTGATAAAACTGTGGAAATTGTAAATGATATCAAAACAATAAGAAAGGAGAGAAACATATAAATAATGGTTATGCAATTTAGTGGCTTAGCCAGCAGTACTCTTGATTGAACAGTTAGGCTTAGGTAGATAGGTAGTGAACCGATGACAATGGAAAAATATTATGTATGCTATGATGAGTTTCCTGGACAATAGGAGCGTAATTCTCTCCAGGCTTCCAAACCTGTCCATGAAAATAATGACAGCATACACATTCTTTTTCCACGGTGTCATCAGCTCAAAAACTTTGAGTAGGTCTACCTAGGCCTAATCATTACTGCTGGCTAAACATATGCCTATGTTTCTCATTCTTTCTTCTCCCTCCAACATTCAATTGGCTCTTCGGAGCTTTTCAATATTATTTTATATTCATACAAGGCTACTAATAATGGAGAACTCATCTAGGAATGATTCTAATCCTATGCATTACAATGGCTTGTCACCAAACTTGGATGAAGAGATGTACTTATGACGTCATGAGCATGCACGAGATTCATAATTTCAAAAATGGGTTATTATGTAATCAAGTGTGCTATTAACCAGTTCTAATTATTACATAAAATTTGTAAACTTCTTTAAGTGATCTCAAATCAAGTAATGCATATATAAACCCTCACCTCCTTCCACCATCAGCCACTACGAAAACAGAACCAGTGATGCGTGAAAGAACAAACCCTGTCACTCCAAGACGCTGTGCCATCCGGTAGCCAGGAAAGTACTGTTGTTCATAATTCTACAGAAAAACAAAAGAAGTTAATAAAAACTGCAACAAAATAAAAATTGTTATCAAATGTAAACAAATAAATACTAATTAATGTTCTATATTATATGTTAATAAGCAATGTATCTATTCCACAAGAACTAGGAAAGCACAAATGAATACAATTTGCATAATTCATTTTATTCCTTAACTATTTCTGGTACCTAATCAGTGCAACAGCATTTTTCTTTAGGGTTCATTATTGTGACACTACAGCACATATTTTAACTCATAACAGAGGTGAATGTTATATTTTTCCAGATTTTGTTAAAATAAGATTATATAACTTTAGAAATAGGCATTACACACCATACTGTTTTGTGAATATGGTGACCCAACAGATATTCTCTTCTGCAGACAATTTATATTAATAATCAAAATATTTACACAGGTGTGTGTGTGTGTGTTTGTATTTGAGTATGTGTGTTTAAGTGTATTTATATAAGTACTAATTTATATACAGTATGTTATATATATATATTTGATATTTTTTGTGAATCAATGTCTGATTATTTTAATTCTAATTTTCATACACTTTAATTTGAATTTATGTTATTGGGAATTACAAGTTCTTTATTTTTTTAGATAGTCCTTTTTATCATTTTATATGTATTTTATTCATGTATATATTAACATTCTTATGTTGT